TCTCTCTTTAACATCATCTGATCCAGGGGCCAGTGCTCTGCTGGGTCCAGCCCAGGAAGAGCAGGAAATGGATGAAGAGAGCGAAGAAGCTGAGGCTGAGCCTTCTCAATCCTCCTGCCCTGCGTATGATGAGCTCTTAGAGGTTATGGATCGCGCCACGGCAAGGCAAGTGGACTAAGGAAGTGGCGTCACGAGGTTGTCTCGAGGAACGTTATCTTTCTGGCCATAACCCTCCAGCTCAGGTGAGCCTTCCTTTCCTTCCTGATCTCCATACTGAGATCGAGAAGGAATGGAAGAGGCCGTTTTCCTCACGCATCCATCGGTTTCAGCATACCAGTTATGCGAATATCGAGGCAATGCGCGAAAACGGCTATGAGAGAATGCCCCCTGTAGAAGAGACGCTAGCTAGCTATCTCTCTATGGGTGAGACATCGTCTCTCAAAACTCCCTCCTTGCCATCCGTGCCTCTTCAAGCTACATCTAAATTGAATGGCAGGGCATACGCAGCAGCAGGTCAGGCTGTTGCTTCGGTGCACACGATGGCGGTCCTCCAGGCATACCAGGCTGATCTGCTGAAAGACCTGGATAAAGGCGAGGGCCCCCCTCAGCATGGTGGCGTGGGTATACCGTTCCCCATAGCGACCCCTAGAGGACGCAGTTCGAAGTTCCCATGAAAGGGAACATCTCGGGTTACTTATGTAACCATGGTTCCCTGAGTAGGGAACGAGACACTGCGTCCTCTAGGTTTCTTACCATGCTGCGGACGCGAGCTTCAGACGAAGAAGTGAATGGTTCTGTAGCTCCCGGCGCCTATTTATACTATAGTCGCACTGGTAGTGACGTCATGGCTGTTGCCGGCCAACGAGTTGGTGTTTTTTCAATGTATGCTTCAGACACGGGTCACGACGAGGCGTTCCCCCATACCGACCCCTAGAGGACGCAGTGTCTCGTTCCCTACTCAGGGAACCATGGTTACATAAGTAACCCGAGACGTTATTATTGTTAACTAAAATAAAAACTATTAAAAACTGGTTTCTGTAATTGAAATAAAGCTGTAATAAAGTATATAAGTCTGAAATTAAAGTATAAATATTAGGTGAAAAACCTAAACTTAAAAAAAAAGAAAGAATAATAAATAAATAAAAATAAATAAATACATGAAAATTAGAAATGTTGCTGAAAATAAGTTAAAGTTAAATAAGTAAAATAAGTTTAAGTTAAAATACTAAAATAAAAAACCCCCATAAAAATTAAAATAAATCAGAGCTAAATAAAAATATTTATACAACAGAAACTAATAAAAATCATAAAAACACAAAACTTAAATTAAAAAGAAAATATAAAAATTAAGCTAATTACAAATATTAAAACTATAATATACAAATATATATAAAATACTTAACATTGGGCTTAAAAAACATACAAAATAATGCCTTAATGAAAATGTTAACATGCTAAATTTTTTATGTGAGGCTTAAGTGATACTATGCTAATATCATTACAGCATATAAATTATCAATATAAAAATAATAAAGGTTTCTATACTTATTAGTTAAATATAAAAACAACATATGGTTCACCATGATAGAAAATCAAATGTATGCATTTGATTTGTGGGTCTGCTTATCTATAATTTTGGGGTATAATCCATCTTATTCCACACACATGCAAAGTTACATGCTCAGTGGAGTCAATTTTTCCAGACCTCATTTGAGTTTCTGTACGTTAGCCAGCTGAGATTTCTCCAGCAAGACTTTTCTTTATCTCACATAACCTCATTCCAACAGTACTGACAGATGCTGATAGCAAATAAACCCTGTAGAGCGATACAGACGTTTTATCAACTTTTCTTCCCCATTGCCTGATACGACACAGTACTCTGATATTACCCAGAATGCATTGTCACTGACAAATGCGAGTGTCTTACAGGTTCTTTCAGTGTCTGAGTGTCTGTTTGACATTCTGACAGAGTGCAGGACCTTTGCGGAGCCCCATTTGTCTGGTGTTGATGTCTTTCTCTGCCTCTAAGGGCGCCAGGGCTGCTTTCTGCTCCCTTAATGCCGGTAGAACTTTACTATATTAAGATCTGCAATAAAAACAACATACCAGCGATTACTGCTGGTGGGGTCGTGCGGTCAGATGCGCTGATCGCTAAGCAGTGTTGAACACGAACACATCAGAGCCTCTGATTGATGCATGCATGTTACCTCTGATCTGGGGTCAGATGCGACTGATGGTTATTTAAACCACGTACACATTCAGGCCTGGCAGAGACAGAGTGCAGAGTTGTTTGCAAGTGAGATTCCTTCTAGATTAGAGCCTATGCTATCGGGGGTTGAACGTTGCACCATGGGGGACGTGCAAGGCAAACATGACTCCTGATTGACAGGTCAGACTGCTGCAGCGGGAAGAGAGCAGAATGGGTTGTTTCCATGGAGACTAGTTGCAGGGTTTGGTGTGTATTTACGGCTCCCTGGTAGGCCTGGGCGATATAGCTAAAAAATGTATCAATGATATAATGTTTCATATCGGTCGGTATCGATAATAATTGACATTTTTTATAACCTTTTTTAAAACAAAGAGCAATAGAATTTTTTTTTAAATTTAACCACTGTATTTTTAAATTAACCCAATTTATTGAGACAAACAACAAATATTTTTTGTTTTAACAGTCAACAGTAACAGTAAAAAATTAAACAAATATCTAATTTCTAATGTTTTATATGCAGATTAAATAGGTCTTAAGGAAACTTTTGGCTTGTTTCCCGAAGCCACAGGAGGGCGCAATGAGCAAAATAATGCAGCGCATTAAATTAAATTCAATGAGCAAAATAATGCAGCGCATTAAATTGTCAACGCAAGGAAATAACTGTCTATAAAAAACATGCATTACGTATAGATTCTCATATAAATCAAATATAATTTCGTAAATTGCATAAACAATTATGTACAGAACAGCATAATGTATTTATGCATTGCTTAATACAAAGAGCCGAATCGCCATTCGCACAGATTGCCTTTTAAAACATATGAGACACAGTGAAAAGGAATAAACCTCCACAAACTCGTGACGTGTTTTCTAAAAGTTGCATGGTGAGACGTGAGTGCAGCAGTCATATTTATCCGTCTAAAAAATGCTGAATTTGCGTTCTGTGTGAATGGCTTGGTTTCGGTTTTAACCTAATCTACATTTTCTACGCATTGAGATACTATATTTCTTTAATATTTTGAATGAATAACGCAGCAGCGGCGCGTCTCGTGGGCTAGACTAACGAAACATTAAAATGTCACTTACATCAAAACACAACGTCACTTACATTATCATCATCACCCCATCTCGCGGGCCACTGATGACGCTCCCTGACGCATACCTAACATTCGATTGTACTATTTTTATTGTTAGCAAAATAATCTTATTTCAAAACGAAAACAAGATTATTTATCTTACCCCATTGGCAGATTATTTAGCTTGTTTCAAGCAAAAACTCACTTAATTTTGACTTGTTTTATCTGAAAACAAGACAATAATGTATACTTGTCTAGAAAATCCTTCTTGATTTAAGAATTTTTAGATATTTTGGCTGGAAACAAGACAAAAGATCTAAGCTAGAAAAGCATTTTTTTTGCAGTGTATGCTTGGACACAGTTTGATCGTACTGCTAAAAATTTAGATGCATTTGGGCAAAATTTGATGAAAAATAAATACATGATCACTTAAGTAGATATGCAATGAAGGTCATGTGACTACAATGTAGTATATGAATTTGAATCAGTTATTGTTATGTATAGTGTTAAATTTTTTTTTGTTAATTTAATTAAAAAAAAATAAATTAAAACTTTAAATTGATCAAAAGTGACTGTAAAGACATTCATAATGTTACAGGAGACTTATATTTCAAATAAGTGTTGTTCTTTTAAACTGTCTCAAATACAAAGCATCCTGGAAAAAAATTCCACAAGTTTCCACAAAAATATTAAGCAATAATAAATATTTCTTGAGCAGCAAATAAGCATATATGTATGTTTTCTAAAGGATCATGTGACACGGAAAACTGGAGTAATGATGCTGATAAATTCAGCTTTTCATTCGCAGGAATAAATTCAAAATTTTACTTTTTTTTTTTTTTTTTAAATAAATGCAGCCTTGGTGAGCATATGAGACTGTTCAAAAACAATAAAATATCTCACAGAACCTAACCTTTTGAACGATAGTGTATTATTATTCAATTGCAAATTTTTGCAACTTTGGTATGCTAGAATTTTTGTTCAGAAAATGTGACTACATTTGGAATAACATACTATCATAATACTGTGTTTTCATAGTATATTTGCAATTTAGTTAATTTGATTTTGTTGATCATGCAGGTATTTCTTGCAAAAAAATTGCGTAATGTGAACAGTATACATACTGCATACTGCAAAAAGTAGTACAAGTAATATGGTAGTATTCCATTTCTAAACAAATTTAGAATAGCGGACATAGTAAAATGCTAATATGCTATTCTGAATTTACAGTTTTTCCCTGCTTCTACTGACATCTGTTCTTATTTTGTGATCGGACAGGTGACATGGACCAGCTGATGGAGGAGTGTCGCTCCTTGAAGGACGAGTGTCAGACTCTAAAGAACGACAACAAGCAGCTCTCTGAGAAACTGGAGATGCTGGAGCAGCAGCGAGCCAGGTGATTGGCCACATGGCCTGTCAATCACACACAAACAAGATAACTCAGCCACTGAGCATCGCAGACTCTGTCTGTTAATAAGGCCGGCGTGACCGCTGAAGCATTCAGCCATAATCTGTCTCAATGGACACTCTCGCTAAAACTATTTAGCAGCTATGAAAGTGTTTCTCAGCAACATGAAACATTAATGACTGTGTATTTCATCTTATCCAAATATTTTGGCAGCGAGATGAGCCACTGTTGCCTTACAGCTATTTTAAGACATCAAGGTTTCTTTGACTTTATGAATCTAATTCAATCTCTATTTTAGTGCGAACAGATGATTATAAACAGTTAAAAATTTAGAAAATGTGCTGAAGTTAATTAATATATCATTTTGCATAGGCACAGTTTGATATTCTAATGCATCTCTCAATAAATTGTCTGATTTGAGTTGTAAATCTGCCCAAACACACACATTTCAATACCACATGTCAAAACAGGACTGAAAAAAACAATTACTAGCATAATTCTCTTCTCTAATTAATGGGGTTTGTTATGTGTATTTATTATTGATTTTTAAATATGAATTTTAATAACTAAAGTTTTTTTTATTTTATTTTATGTAGTTTATTTTTCTGTGACATTTATGTGTTTACTGTAAAGGCTTTTTTGAGCACTGTGAGAGACTAAGAGAGTGAATGAGGGAGAGAAACCAAAGAGTTTGAGATTTTGAATAAATGATTATGAGAATGAATCAGTGATGAGTACTGCAGTGCGGCTGTCACACACACACACACACACACACACACACACACACACACACACACACACACACACACAAAGTCACAATATGAAGCTAATCTGCAAAGAGTGCAGCAAGAGCTCACAAGTTCAAGTACATTAATAATACCCTAAAAATGCATCACAACATGTACATCTATCTGCAATAAATTTACTGTACATTTCCTGCTTCTGTCCTGACAGCTCAGCTGATTCATGCCTGGCACTGAAAGTAGAGCAGAATGATGGAGAAAATGACTCAGAAAAAGATGTAGAGAAGGAGGTGACCGCTGAGGGTTTCGTCAGCACGTTGGAAGTAGGAGGAGGGGAATGGGTGGACGCTTATACCCAAAAGAACATCTCGTTTGAGGGCAAACCCGTCACCACGACAGGCATGAGTGGAGGGTTTTCAGAGGTGTTCTCTCTCAGAGACCAGGTGAAACAGGCTGAGGAGAAAGCATCACAGGTCCAGAGAGAGGTACGACATGTCCAGTATTTACACTAGTGATAGAATTAGTTGCCCACTTGGCCAAATAACAGATGTTTCAACTTTAGAGTGCATTTTCAATTTTAAACGTTTTTGGATCATTTTTGGTACGAAATAGCCACCTGAAAATGTTAACATTTTTCAGTCAGTACCAATAAATTCCAATCAATTACTTGGTTCAAATGGATTAAGTCAAGAATTGTGGTTCATGTTAACTTTACTTTCTCATAGATCGACATTATATAAGAGATTTGTTGAGCAACAGACATTGTGTAAATTTGTATATATTTAATTCAATTTATGATGTGTTTATTTAAATGTATTTAAATTTAATGTTATATATATTATATTATATTGAATTATATTATACTAATATTATATTATATTAATATATATACTTATATATATATTGTGCACATTTTATATATATATACAGTATATGTGTGTATGTATGTATATTTGTATGTGTGATGATAATGTCTGATAATTAAAAAAATGTTTCATATTAAAACAATTATAACACAAATACTAATTAAAAACATTCTCCACTCTCAGTATGGGGTAGGGCTGTTCGATTCCGAAATTTTTGGAATCGATTCCGATTCCTGGTTCTGGAATCGATTCCAAGAATCGATTTCTCACTGTTGTTTTCGATTCTTTTTCGATTCTTGTTTTTTTTTAGTTTGAAGGAATCTATAATCTCACCATGACTGCAGGATAAAGGTCGTAGAAAATATCCTTCTCATAATATGAAGCTTTATTTGTAAAAAAAAAAAAAAAAAAAATGACGATACATAAATTTTAATTTTGTCTGCTTTGCCCGTGAAATTAGTCATAGCCCACAGCTCAGCATGGACATGCGTTTATCATACCAACCTTTGGAATCGACTCTCGATTCTCAACGCCTCGGAATCAATTCTTTTTGGAATCGATTCCCAGCCCTTAGTATGGGGTAAATTGAGTCACATCAGGTGTCAAACAAAACCATCTGTCATGGTATTGACAAAAAGTGTGAGCCAAATACTTGATTGATGCTAGCAGAATATCTGGTTATTTTGCCTTCAGTTGTTCAACAGCATGACCTTCTGGGAAATATCGCTGAAAAACCCTGACAGTGTGACAACAAAGAAAATCTAATTCCTCTGTTCTCTATTGAATAATGAAATGATTATACAAAGATTTTTGTCAACTTCTTTCTGCAACATATGCTAAAACTCTCCCTCAGTGAATCTAATCAGTTGTCCTCTATCATTTGTTCATATCTCTCCCTTCTTTTAGTGTGAGGGACTAAAAGGAGAGCTTATGGAACTGCAGGGGCTGTATGAGAGCAGCCAGAGGGAGAGGGAGGAGCTAGAGGCGGAGCTTCAGCGCTATAGGGCGGAGCTTGATCGGCTGGCTGGGAGGAAGGCTCAGGTGAGGGGTCATAAAGGGGGTCAGATATCAGTCATGGCGCACTGCTTTCTTCCAAATCCACAAGAGCCATCAATCTAGAACTTCAGACAGTGAACGTGTGAACTTCCTTGGGGTAAAAATGCGACCTCCAATAAATCACTGTACTGTACACATGAACATAAACAAACAGATATTACTCACACAGCAAGTAGGGCGAAATATTATCAACAGAATGACACCATGACTCCATCGACCTCCATGTTTGTCAGCTTTGAAAATGCTCTGTACATGACTAACGTTTTGCATGTGGGGTCAACCACCGCTGAAGCGGCCATCTGTCCAGCAGCAGTACCTGTCTTTCAAAGCGCATCCTGTCTTACTAAACCACTCCGCCATTTTCGGTCGAGTGTGTATGTTTCACTTTGGGTTGCTTTTTGCCCTGTCACACACATTGATTCTGGGCCGTGTGTGTGTTTTCACATCTTGTGTTTGTCAAACCTTTAGCAGCTAATGTGTCTAGCTAGTTTTCTTGATCCAGTTTTTGTGTGTGTACAATGTGCACTGACATAGAGGTCTTTCTAACCCCTGTACTGTCTAACAACAAGCTCAAGCTCTTAGAATAAGTTTTTCCAAGCCACAGAAATAATAATTAAGGTTTTTTCCCATCGAAGAGTCTGTCCAGTCTGAGTACCCTGTCCCATGTCAATCATCCGTCCTTCATAGTTGTACTTTAATTGTGTGGTTAACCCCTCACTCACACTGTTCTGCTGCCTACAATTCCCATGATTCATTTAAGGAATGTTCTGGGTTAAATACAAATGGAGCTCTATCGACAGAATCTGTAATATGCTTAATAATGTTTAGTGAAAAGTCACTTTGTTTAAATATATGTTTAATTAACTGCAACATTTAAATTTATGAACTGTACTACCTATAAAAGAATAACAAAGATCCACCAATCAGAGAAGTCGCTGTTGCAATGTAAAGTGTTTTTGCCATAAAGGATTGTGAATAATGTAATCGAGTCACTCTCCCTACACTCTACTTAAATATTTGCATACATTATACATTTTTTAATATTTTGCATGTTGGTTTTGTTATAAATAATTTTTTTATTGTATATTTTGCAATAAATCATGTTGTTTTTATACTATTAGTCAGTAGTTTGATATAGTTATGCACTGAAATTTCAACAAACAAAAATATTCTGAAAAAAAACTATTAAAAGTTTTGGAGAGCCGACATTATGTATCTATACATGTCAAGTTCGAACACATAATTACTGAAACTTTATTTTCAGTTTCAGGTTTTGGCTAAATGAAAAATGTTATTTCCATTTTGTTAAATAAAAAAATTAAAAATAAAATAATTATAAATAAATAAATAAAAATAATATAAAATAAAAAAAATAATTCTGTGTTATATATTCTAATGATTTGATTATCATTCATGATGATTTATGGGAAGGGTAGTTTATTACTTCTAAATGACTTCAAGTACATATTCCTGCACCTTTGTCTTTTTCCAATTTTCATATACCATGGTTATGCTCTTTTTTTTGACTTGTCCTTCACTTTGTAAAAACACATAGATAGTTGATAGACGGGCTTACAGTGCAAGCAGATGAGGGAAAGACACAATGCTCTCTCTCAACATGTTTGGTTTGTTTGTTTATACAAACTGAAGGATGAATCTGAATAATTTTCTGTGGTATTCAACAACATGTCCCAGATACTGTCGACAGATTTAACCCGGTACATTGGTTTAATACAGTGGGCTGGCTGTACAGTGTGGGCAAGGATCTTTAAATGCCAAGATGGCGACCTTGGCTCTGTGTTTATCAGCCGGGGGGGGGTCAAAACGAGCACAAGGTTTCCATTTTGTGTTTAACCATCTTTGCTGTTTATCTAATCTCGGTGTATTTTCCTGTCTCCCTGCTCCCCCGTGGTCTTTCATCGCTTCGTTCTGTTGCTTTCTAACCACCGAACACCTACATAAACATACCATAAACACCCATACGCTCACGACGCACACTGAACTATATCAAATTCCAAATAAATTTGATGATTCCTGATAAACTGCTGGCATATCTATCTATCTATCTATCTATCTATCTATCTATCTATCTATCTATCTATCTATCTATCTATCTATCTATCTATCTATCTATATATCTGTCTGTCTGTCTGTCTGTCTGTCTGCCTGCCTGCCTGTCTATCTAACTATCTATCTATCTATCTATCTATCTATCTATCTATCTATCTATCTATCTATCTATCTATCTATCTATCTATCTATCTATCTATCTATCTATCTGGTTGTGTTCTCTCCCTTTCATCCTCACACTCTTCATTCTTTCTCTCTATTACTTTTTTATTTTCCATGTTTTATTTACCTGTATTTCCACATGTGCACAAACCTCCCATGTGTAATCATGATCTTATTTTGAGTGTCTGTCATTTTTTTCTTTTTTTTTCTCTCACCACCTCTTCCTCCTCTTCCTCTCTCCATCCCTGCACCCCCTGTGTTTTTCCTCAGAGCTCCACTCCTTCGTCTGAGTGCCCTATTCTCTCCATACCCTTCATAGGAATGGTTGTAATAATGGGCCTGATATGGTGCTGCTGCAAGGAGCTCTTGTCCTAAAGGGGGAAAGGTATGGCTTTGCCTTTTCTTTCTCTAAGAGTCCAGAGACGAGCATTTTGTCCCTCCTGTATTGTGAAACTCTTCTTTATCCTGGTCAAAATGTCACTTTTTATAAGCCATAATGAATGGTCATAACTGTCATGCTAAACAAGCCTGTTTGCCCATTGGACACAGTGCCTGATTCCTTACGAGGGCCTTTTATGGATGTGCACATTGTTTCACAAACATAGTTTTCCAATTAACTACTCTGAAAAACCATATAGTTGGATTTATTCCTGTCTTTTCAGAGGTTTGAAACCTCTCTAAACAAAACAGAAACCCTCATTCAGGATGGAGTACGTTAAAAATGGGTAAATTCTTTGAGTAAACGTAGTCCTGTTTACAGAAAAAGCATAAAAAACATCCCGTTCCCAAAGGGAGTTGACTTGTTTTTACAACATTGCCAAATTAGATTGTGCTTTTGTAGTTTGGACAGAAGAATTTCTGCATCATAGACATTTCTTATGTTCTTTAGTCAGGAAGTTTGGCACCATCAAAAATCAAGTCATATTCAGACATCCTCTTGAGATTTCCGAATGTTATTATCCCAGCCAAATGCATGACACAACTCTGATTTCAACAGT